ATGGGGCATTAGGGATTTTGTACCACATTGGTAATTAAGGATTGTGAATTGCATATGTACTTTGACTTTCTATCTAAAAGTGACAAGGTGAGTTTGAATAAGAACATGGCCACGTAATCCCACTCTTGTAGTTTTGAACTTCTGCTGGAAATGCTTAGAGGAAAATAGTTAAATGTTAGACCCATTGGAAAGTAATTTCCCATCCAGTAGAGGAAATAGTTGGCAAATTGTCTTGGGATTATTCAGTGCATTAGTATCTCTTCACGGCAGTGCATTATTCTTTATTTCACTGTATCACTGCTGGATTACTTAACAAATATCATTACTTCTGAGTACTGAATGATTTACGGCAAGGGTTAATGCAGATTTCAAAATGGGAGCCCATATTCAAAGACGATAGCATATGTACTTGGGAGTTGTGGAACCAGTTAATGTAAGCACTTACACATTCACTGTATTAAAATGTGAAAGAATGTCTCCACTTCCTGGGTGATGGTGCATTCTGTGATGTCATTTAGGGATGCTGTGTTATGGGTGTTAGCCTCAATGAAGAGACAGTGTTGACTGGTATGTCAGATGGCACACACCCATAACCCCAGCATTTGGGAATCGGAGGCAGGAGAATCATGAGTTTGGGGCCAGCATGGGGAATGCAAGGCTAATCCGCACTGTGTGGGCTGATTCTGTCTCAAAAACAAAACAAAACTGTTGCATCTACACTCAGGTAAAAAAGGTAGAAAGTAAACCTTAGTGTTTCAAATCAAGAGCAAGACAATCTGAAATAAATATATGTATAAATTGCATAAAGTAAACTGGGCATAAGGAAATAACCACTGGCCAAGCAGCTCTCAGGCTGTGGGGTGCAGGTCTCAAAGCGGCTGTTCTTTGCGGGATAGGAAGCACTGCCATCCATGCTGTCTGCGTAAGAACTGAGAGCACAATGTGTCTGGTAGCGCTTCCCTGAGCTCAGGTTGAGATCAGCCTTGCCTGAGTGCTACAGGGTGAGAAAACCGGTCCGAGATCACTTGGGGACTAGTGAGGAAGTTCCGCTGCAGAATCTGAGTTTTACAATACGAGTTCACAGTGTAGAGTTGAATGACAGGGTTTTTATCTTCCAGATCTGAATCCGGGGGGGCTGTCATTTTTATGCAAGAGCCAGATTACCTTGAAAATACCCCTGCAAAACATCTTTGCAACCAGGAAAAACTGGAGTACAGCCTTCCAAAATAATATGGAGGGTGGTAGTCAGCCTGAAGGAGAAAAGTGTTTGAGCCCAAGGTAAAGAGCGATCGTAAAAGACTAAAAATTTTATTTCTTTCAAAAAGGAGAAAAATATTTGTAACCATTCCACAAGTAGGAAGAGAAACTGCACCTTCTATCTCATAATGATACCTGGAGAAGTGTAAAGGGCCTCTTTCCGTTTTCTGCCTATGTTTTTATACAACTTTTATCATCTATGCATTAAGCTTTTTTCTAGAATCGTCATGGATTTTATGTTATTATTTAATCATAATATTTACTAATCATATACATGCAGTAAAAACTGTAACAAATCATTTACTACTGAGAAATTTCAAGTACTTAACCTTAATATGACTTAGACTCGAACCAATCCTCACTAGCTTTACTGACAACTCATGCAATGTCATACTCAGCAATGACCAGGATGCTGAAAAGCATATGAAATAAAATATGAAAGTCAAATTTATTTGGATAATATGATAAAGTTTGAGAATTTGTACTTGTTGAATATTATATGGACAGCATTTCTCTAAAAGCCTGAACTTTGAAATAGATTGTATTCTCATTGTTTAATCTTTGAATTTGCATATTTTGATTTTCTGTTGGCAGAAGAAAAACATAGGATGGATTTTAAATTCTAAATTGTATAAACAATGACTACTGTATCATACTCTGGTATGCAGCTGTTATAAATTCATGTAAGGCATACCTATATATATGGAGTGCTGAAAAGTTATAAAAATAGTATTGCCAAGAAATTGTTCACATGCCAGTAAGATTAGATAAGTATAACATCTGCAATAAATAAGGAGATGATAAATACTAATAATGTGGGGTATATAATAGGAGTTTAGATTTGAAGGTATGTGGCATTCAATGCTATCATTTTTTCATAGGTGAGCTTTATTTTAGTCCAACAAGGCATATACAGCATATAAATACAAACTTTGGAGGGAAATCTTCAAAGGCTATATCAGGAACATTTATTTTACTTATAATTACCTTATATTGGCTGAGTGTGGTGGTACACACCTATAATCCCAGTACTCAGGAGGCTGAGCGAGGAAGATCATTGTGAGTTCAAGACCAGCCTGGGCTACAGGTGAGCTCAAGACCAGCCTGAACTGCATATTAAGACCTTGCCTCAAAAAGACAAAAAAATTACCTTATAAAAAGGGGTACTCGGGGCTGGGGATTTAGCTCAGCGGCAAAGCGCCTGCCTGGCAAGTGCAAGGTCGTGAGTTCGGTTCCCGGTACTGGAGAAAAGCCAAAAACAAACAAAATTAAAAAAAAAGGGGTACTCTATGCTCATTGCTGGGTATCCTCATTAAAATACTTGCTTTGTCTTCTGTTTTTTTTTTTGTTTTTTTTTTTTTGTATTTCTACAACCAACAGTAAGATACTTTGTGCATCGTAATATTTGATAAATCTGCTTTTCAGAGGAGGTCTACAGCTCTAAAACTAAAGGAACACTACATTTGAAGAGGAGGACAGTGTTCTCCAGTGAAATCACTGATTATTGGATGGGGGCAGGAAATATGTAAACTGATCTTAAAACACCTTAGGATGTCAAAAAGTAAGAAAAAACAAGATAAATCTACAGTTTTCTGTACATATTAAAGGAGTAGCCAAATCAATAGAAAGGGATCCCAGTGGCTAAATTTCAAACAATATAAGCAACAAAGCAATGTTGGCTGATAATCCAAAATATAAGATAAACACCTTGAATCCGTACTGTTGTAACTGAGTGAGGAAGTAAATAAATAAGCGAGGTGGAAGATAGCCCTGTAGCGTACCTTGACATCACTTATGTGGATGACGGCTGTGGTACATTACTGCTTCCCTGCTTTCCGTGCACAGGGGTTGCAGACAGAGGTCCCGTAAAAGAGGGAAAGTGAGTGATTCCACAGTGGAGAAAGACTTGACAAACCCTGTTCTATACAAGAGACCAAAGTCGGTGAAACACTGAAAAGTTGTAGGTTGGTAGCCTTAATTTTGTAAGTGAAACATAGTGTTTTAAAACTATTGTGGTCCTTCTAAAAAACCCCATAACTGTCTAATTGCAAATAAAATATCAGACAAATATCAGTTGAGAGACATTTTATAAAATGCCTGACCAACAGCCATCTAAATGTCAGAAATAAAGCTTGAAAAACTGTTAGTGCCAAGAGGTAGCTAAGGAGAGGCCCTGATTAAATCTAATGCTGCATCTTTGACGTGACCCTGGAACAAACAAGCAGAGGAGGTTGATTACATGTGCGTCTCACGCGTGGCTATCTGATTGCTATTAGGCCCAATTAAACTGAAGTACTGTATTTACACCTAGGTCACAAAGATTTGAGGATAGAGTCTGGTAACCAGCGTCACAGGTACCAAAATCAGACAAAGATATTATACACAAGAAGCACTGCATCAAGTCCCACTCATAAGCAGAAAAGTAGTCATTTGTAATGTAATATTAGTACGTGAAACTGAAAAACAGGAGAAAAGGATAGTGTATCATGAACAATAAGATGTATTCCAGGGATGCAATTTGGTTGACCACTCAAAATATTAGCCAGTGTAATTCGTCACATAGACCGACTGAAACAGAGGGTGGCAGGATCATTGCAAACACGAGCAGAGCTGCATGGGTAGGTTAAAGTTCCAGAAAGGACATTCATTCATTCATAGCACAACCTCTCACAAACCTGAGTGACAACGATATTCAGTCTTGTTAGATGCAGTGAGCATTTTACTGTAAACGCCAGTGCAGTAAAGCAAGTAAGGAAAAATAAAAACAAAAATATACCCATATATGCATATTGGATAACATGCACATCAATGCAGAATACCTGAAGGAAGGTACAATAAAATCTATTAAAAGAAACAAATATATTCAGTAATATGGAGTATATTATTAATACATACTTTTATCATTACATTCTATGTACAAATAATTACAAATTGAAATTGAGTTATTTATGATAGGATCAATATGCTAGAAATACTTAAAGGTAAGTGTAAAATATTTTCAATTATTGTGCACCAAAATGAAAAAATTCTGAAATAAATTAAGGAAAATTTAAATAAAATAGAGAATTTTTAAAGTATTCATGGGCTGGAAAACTCCATACAAATAGAAAGAGAGTTGTCTTCCAGAATGATTTATGGATTTAATATATTCATAATAAAAGTGCCAGTAGATTATTTTGTAGAAATTGATTAGCTGGATAAAAATTTTATGAAAATACAAATTACCCAAGAGCTAAAAATTTTGAAATGATCATGGTTTTGTATAAAGACAGACTTAAATCTAAGATAAATAATATAAAGTTGAGGAAATAACAAAGATATTAATTTCAGAAAGAGTGCCAAGGTGATTGAAAAGGGAAAAGATTGTCTTCCAACAAATTTCTGTAATATTCAGATATATGTTTTGTGACAAAAACAAATTTTACAATTTTACCTCATATCATACATAAAGGTTGACTTGAATGAACAGAGATACAAATTTGAGGGTAGACACTACAAATATTTTAAAGTAAAAAATACAAGGGGAAAATATTATTTTGTTTTCAGAAAATATTTTATATAAGGTACAGAAGCATACATCATAAAAGAAACTGAACAGGAATTCATTAAAACTTCCAAAAATCCATTCTTAAAAAGGCATGTTTAAACTCAGCATGTTGGTGCATGTCTGTAATCCTAGTACTGAGGAGGCTGAGGCAGGAGGATTGCTGTGAGTTTGAGGCTAGCCTGGGCTACAAAGTGAGTTAAGACCAGCCTGAATTGCATGAGGTGACCCTGTCTCAAAAAAAAAAAGGCATGTTTAGAGAAATAAAGCTGTAATAGAGTCTGGAAGAATATACTTACATTACATTTATGTTATGAAATACCTGTACCCAGTTGTAATAAAATATAATATAATATGTAATATAAAGTGTAATAAAGCTGAATAAGATAAATACAATCCAGTATAGTAAATACACTTAAACAGGCACCTTATGGAATATTATCATATGACAAGTAAGTAGATAAAAGCATGCCCAGCATCTTTTGTCACTGAAGAAATACAAACTAAATCACACGGAGATGCCATAGGCCCCACTCACCTGGCTACAGTTTAAATGCTGACAAGAGCAGTTGTTGGTGAGGTAGTGAATCAAGTAATATTCCTACAGAAAATGCAAAATGGCCCAAACACTTTGAAAATAAATCAGCAGTTTCCTGTAGAAGTAATCAGAACTTGTCACATGATACTTAATCTACCAGATACAATGTAAATGTCCACCAACTGGTAAATGTTTAAAACATTTACTGCATGAGAGATTAGTATTCACAAATCAAACAGAAAAGGATTACTGATGTACATGGCATTGTGCATGAATTTCAAATCCCTTATGCCAAGTAAAATAACCTATTAATAATAGACCATACCATTTGAGTCTATTTATATAAATTTTAGAAATAGCAGGCTGTCATTATAGAAGGCAGATCCACTGTCAGGATTCAGGGTTAGAGGGTGAGTGATTGATGCAAATACATGCAAGGAGCATTTGGGTTTGAGGGGATTTATATAATTTATCATTGCATTGATACTCCTCAATTAGCAAATTATATACAAAGTATAACTCAGCGAAACTCACTAAAATGTGACTGAGGCACTCACCTGCAAAGAATAACGTGTGTGAACTTCTCATTCTTCACAAAAATAAATTTGAATAAATCATAGACCTAAATGGAAAATGCAAAATTGTAAAAATCCTAGGAAACCTAGATTGTACTCGTTTGTCAATATAATACCAAAGGCTTGATCTGTTGAATGAAATAATTGATAATCTATACTTCATTAAAGTTAAAAAACATTTGATCTGTAAAATATAATCAAGGGAATGAAAAGACAAGCCACATACTAATACTAAATATCTGGCAAAGACATCCAAAGAACACTCCAAACTCTACCCCAAGAAAACGAGCAGTCTTATTTGGAAGACAACACGACATCTGAACAAACAGCTCATCAAGGAAGACGTGCAGATGGAGATAAGCACTCGAAGAGATGCTCAGCACCACCTGTCCTTGGAAAAGTGCGAGAGGAAACAACGGGAGCTACTATCGCGCAGCCGTTACAACGGTCAAAACCCAGAATCCCCTAAAGACGGTGGTGAGAGGATCTAGCGCGGCAGGAGCTCTCGTCCTGTGCAGGGGGTAGGGGCGAGAGGGGAATGCAAAGTGGTCCAGTGGTCCGGCTGCTTTGAAGACAGAGTGACAGTTTCTCACAAAATCGGAAACACTCTGTGTGACCCGGCAGTCCTGCTCTCCTGCATTTACTCGGAGGAGCTGAAAGCTCACGTTCACACAAAGCCTGAACACGTGTGTATATGGCGCCTTGAGCCATAACTGGAAAATTAGAAAGCTACCAAGATGTTCTCTACTAAGTGAATGATTGACAGTATTTCATCCAGACAGTAAAATATTTTGCAGCACTAAAAGTTAGGCTATCAACCCACGACAAAGCATAGAGGAACCTTAAAATCCATCTTAAGCCAAAGAAGGTGATAAGAAAGTTTTAGCTATTGTATGATTTCCACCAGCTTGCATTCGGTAAAAGGCAAACCTGTGGAGACCGTAACAGTTTCGGCGGTGGCCATGGGTGAAAGGTGACTGCGCGTTGAGGAGACAGCACTATTCTCTGGGATCCACTGGTGTGGATGCATCTGTCCTCAGATCTGCAGACTGTGCACCATGAAGGGAGATGGGAGCGCTCTGTCCGTGACGGTGTGACGGTACAGGCAGATGCCTTTTAGCACGCCGTGAAGGTGGCTGGGCATGTCTGGGCATAGGAGGCGAGAGCAATTTTATGGACTTTCCAGTGAATTTTGCTGCAAACTAAAAACTGTTCTGAAAATAAAGTCTATTAAAAAGAGCAAAACATAATTCACAGCTTAAACAACTAGTCATTCTGGGTTTAGGATCTACAGATACATGGAAATGAAGGAGATGTCACAACTCCAAAATTTATGCAAGAGGAGAGTAGAAATGTATGCTCCTGATGGCTTTGCCGTATGTATGTGGTCACACTATTTGAAGGCAGAATGTGAAAGACGAAGAAGCAAGGGTATTCCCTGAGCACGCTTGTTAAAAATGAAATGAACGACTACCAGAGAAAAGGAAATACTCAGGGTAGGCAATTAATCTACAAAGAAAATAGACAAAGTAAAAACAGCTAAAACCATGGCAGAAAATGGATGGAACAGAGATCAGGTGACAAGACCATAGACTTACTACAAGCTCACAGGAGTGCACACACATAGCTAAGTGTATATAAATAAGTCAAGGTCTCATGGGGCTGCTGCCGCATGCCTGTAATTCCAGCACTTGAGAGAATGAGGCAGGAGGATTGCAAGTTCAAGGTCAGCCTGGGCTACAACACATTTGAAGCCAGCTGGAATTGCATAGTTTGAATAAATATATAAAAAAAAATTCTTAACCCTAGAAACACCATAAAATATATGACAGATGGGATTTCACTGAATTAGAAACATATGTTCCTGAGAAAATTAGCTATAGTCTGTAAGAAAATACTTGAAACGCATCATTGGTACAAGTCTTGTATGTGGTACATATAAAGAACTCATTGAATTAAATCTGTGTTAATATCATTGACATCTCCACGGCTTCAGGAGTTTAAAGTTGGTTTCTCGCTCATATTCTGTATCAGATTCAGAAATGTTACTCGGGTTCTCTGGAGAAACAGCCCAGCAGGAAGACATTATTGACCGGGGATTGGATCACCAGATCACCGAAGTTGAGCAGCCTGAGATCTGCAGTTTGTAAATGGGAGACCAGGAGAGCCGAGGGTTAACAGCCTGAGCCTCCAGGCAAGGGGGACCCTAAGGCAGTTCCAGCCAGAAGTCCTGCAAGCTGAGAGGCTGAGGGGAGCTGGTGACCTAAGGCAAGGAAAACCTTAGAGTCCTGCGGGAGTCGGCCAAGAAGGAGGAGCCCCGCTCCCCATAAAGCCAATCACTTATTCCAACGGTGAATTCGGCTGAACAGCGGCCGACGCAAGGCAGCACGAGAGATTTACTCCGTCCGCCAACTGCATTGCTGACCGCATGCCCAGGTGCACCAGGAAGAGGGGACCTAGGCCTGGCGCCCGTGGCGATGGGCACGCAGCTTTAATCCGGTGGCAGCAGCTGCGCTCTGCGCGGGTGTGTGGGATTCTCCACTCCAGGCTGACGCACAGGCCCTTCCTGGGATGGAAACTGCAGGAAGGCAGTGGGAAGGCACGAGGACCGGTGAAGGATGGTCTCCGACCAAGCTTTGCTCTGAACGTAGGCGCTGGTCGCTCTTCTCAGGCTTTGTGGGCTAAGCGACGTCATGGCTGAGCTGATGTGAGCGAGGGGGAAATGAACAGCTGGATACAGCGTGCGTCCGATGAAAGCAGGCGCTTAGTCTCGGGGATGGGGTGACTGGGAACCCCAACTCACCTCATCACGTTGTCTCCACAGGCTCAGGAAGGTCAGATTTTCTAATGAATTTCAGATTTAAAGTAGATTAATTTAACTCAAAGCATCTTTATCTATGTTATTTATTTTACAAATGTGAAAAAGACCAGAAATAATAAATGATGCATTTTTAAAAAAATTATTGACAGAGATTAAGACAATATCACTTCGAATGTAAGGTAAAATCAGTAATTTACCCTTCATTGTTATTTATAGGAACCGCTAGTATTTAATAAAATATTGAACTAATTATCATTTTAATAGCAATGGGCATGTAGAAATTTGCTCCTTTGGAAAGTGTACTGAGGTCTGTTTATGAGGCGTATTTTGAGTTAGCTGCAAATCTTACTATTCTGTTTCCATAACCAGAAAACAGTATGTGGCAGAGGAAACCTCACTGTGTTCCTTCATTACTTTTCCTTTTGTCCTTTACAGCAATCTAAGTTCTCAAACACTCAGACACACACACACTTACACACACAACCCTATTCCCATGGCTTTTGTAAGGCTTGGGGTTGCACAGTTTCAAATGTAATTTTTCAGCTTCTCTTGCAGCTAGGTGTGGTCCTCGAAGTCGTGCATGGGAGCAGAATTGATGTGTACTATCATCAACCCACAGTACTCAAATGAATGCTGATTTTCCTTCATTTCCTTCTTCCGCCTTCTAATCATCTATGAAAGGACAAAGACTGAAACAGCAGCAACCTGAGACCTAGAGCAAAAAGATGAGAAGACCCAATACAGATGACAGGACCTTTATTCTGAGATCCCAGATATTCATGTCCAGTTTACTTGTCTACCTGTATGTTTGTTGGCCTATTCCCTTCCTCTAGATTATTTTTCAGGAAAGAATGCAAACAAATCTATCCTGCTTCAGCCTCTGTAATTTGGAGTCTCTTTTACAGTAGCTTAGACTGTGTATACATAACAGATAAATGATGAAGAATCTGGTATTCCTCATGTAAGACTAAAATTGGTTAATTAAATGGAACCAACTAACTGTTCAGGAGTTCCTAGCAGTAGGTCTTGGTGTTGACTATCTGTCTAACCTGCTCTAGTAGTTTTATTAACTCTGTATGCCTTTTGGTGATCTCTTTGCTATCTAACCCAGGTCATAAAATAATTATGCACAAAGATTTAATCAAATACTTGGGAGATGAATAATTTTTTAAAGTCAAAGGTTAGATTCTTTAATTATAAAAGAGAAACTTGAATTAATTTCTTCACCTTTTAGCCAAGGTCTTGGTAGTTTAGTTTGATCACTTTTCACTTTTAGAAAGCTTTCTGACCCATTCTAATTTTCTGGACTTTTTCATCCTTGTGCATGCTGAATATTGGTTATTCTTACTGTGGGAGCCTTGTAAGAATGGTAAATCTATTGGTCTTCCTTAAAATAAGAAGCATGCACTTGCTTGATTTGACAAGACCAGGGACACTGATTTTATGATTAGCAAGCAGAGGTCATCCTGTATTTGTAAACAAACCCAGTGTCTCAGAATCCCATTGTTTAAGCTCTCCAGTGGCCTAACAATGGGAATGTCTGTCTTTGAGTTAGTAATTAATTTATTCCTCACAATCATTTCTCAGTGTTTCTATGAGCCTATTTATTAGCTTATTGAATTCTCTTTGTTTCCTTTTTCTAACAACAATGGAATTATTATGAATATTTGGGTCACATTTTGCTTCAGGAAAAATATACTCTCTAAACTGAAAGCTGCTATTGTCTTCAACAAAATGCAACTTTCAAGTCAGATCTCAGGTAAAACTTCCACAGAAATAATTGAAAATTATTTCGATTATAATTTAAAGGGAGGAAAAGGAAAGGAAGGAGGTACTTGACCATCCCCAAATTTCTGTGACCTCTAAGGAAAAGGATGGCCCCGGAGAGGCAGCGATGGCCCCGGTCCAGGCGGCGACGTCTCCGTTACCCCAGTTTTTGATCGTTTCCGTCCTCACTGAGCCCATGGTGTCTGTAGCTACTTTTTGCTTTTCCATTTTTCACCTTGTGATTTATCTGCTCTTCTGGAGGACTCAGTCTGTTTACTGTAACTGTGTTTTTATTATCCTTGTCTAAGGATGACTTTATGATTATGAGTTCCCTCCGAGTCTGTCTGAAGTCTTTGTTGCCAGCACTCTGCAGCATTACTTTAAGTCATAATGTCTTACAATACACTGCTGAATAGATTGCTGTACACACAGTGCAGACATTTATTTCCTTCCCTCCTCAGATTTTAATGCAGCAATCAAATGTCATGGGGAGTGGTTTACTCAATGCCGCAAATGAAATAGATATAGATCTTCTAACTAAAATTGGCTGGTAAGAAAATTCCACAGAAACAGACATATTACACATTCATAGTTTTCCTATTCTTGCAGACCTCCAGTATTTGCATCTGTTTTGTAAACGCAAAGATAAGCCTGAGGGCTATCTGGAAACATATTGCACAACGGACACCTTAATGGGATATGAACGTGGAGCTCTCAAGTTATGCTTACAAATAATGTTATTTTCTAGACAATTTTATTTTGGGGATTTATATATATTTTTTTCTGAGTGAGTATATGGATTAAACCAAGATATGTCAATAAAAGTGCAGGGGAAATGTCTTATGGATATGAGCACATTATCTGATAAAAACTCCTATGTTGCTATTTGCTCATGTCTGGAGATAAAGATAGGACAAACCTCAGGGAAGAGGAAAGAAGTCCTGTGCATTAGCTTCTTCAGCACCCTAAGCACATACCCAATATTCCAGACTGGCACGGTGTCGATATTTCTTTGGGGATCTGCAGTTGTGTTTATGATCAGTGAGAAGTGTGTTCTTGTAAAATAATTTTGACCTTAAAAGAACTGTGCTGTTGACTTGCTTATCACTTTGCTGATACTGAGAGTGTTCATTTGCCTCTCCCAGACTGATATTTATCTATAAAATTGAGATGTGCAGAGAACAATTCCAAGCCAAAGAGTCAGGGCTGAGCACATTCCTGACCACTTTCCCCATCCCCACCCTGCTCTAAGAGGCTGTCTCATCGCAGTGTTCGAGAATATGTCCTCTGAGGTCAGACAGCTGAACAAGATTAAACACCCCCTCTGCCGAACGCCCCGGATGCACGGCCTGAGCATTCTGTGCAGAGCAAAGCGAGGATAATAATGATTCCTTTCTCAGAGGTGTTGCAGTGAAACAGGAGACAGTCTGTGATATATTGAGCATACATTAGAGGAGAAATGATGTTGCTAGGAAAGTGAACCCTAGTTCCAATCTAACAACATTTCTATTCCCCCATTGTTTGATAATTTCTCTCTGCCTGCTTTTGGCAGTGGTGATGTTACTTCTCCAGTACAGCAAACATTGTGCTTCCCTCGTACCTCAGACACATCCTAAGCTGTTTCAAGACCATTGCCTCAATAATGTTACCTTTCATTTACATTTGAGAATATTCACAGGGCTTGTATCCAGTATGGGCTTTCTGTATTGGTTGGACAGGAGACTGGAGACCTAGTATTTACGTATCTCAATGCCTATTTCACTATTTCACTAGGAATAACATCACACATAAAAATGTTGTGGTTTAGGTCTGAAATGTTCCCCAAGGTCTCACGTTTTCAGACAGGCACTTTTTAGTGGGGTCACTTGGTCATGGTGGTGATGCTCTACACTGTCTGGAGGTGAATCTGATGTGAAGAGATAGGACTTTGGGCTTGACCTGAAAAGTGTACCTTGTTCTGAGCTCTTTCCTTCACTCTTGCTGCTTCCAGGTTGCCAGAGGTTGAGCAGTTTTCCTCTGCCGTGCCCCTCCACCTTGTTGGTTCAGCCTTGGAGCCAATAAACCATGGACTGAATATTCTTAAACTGTGAACCAAGACAAACCTCTCATTTAATCTGCTGGCATTGGGTATTTAGTCTCAGTGATGCAGAAGCTGACTAATAGAAATATTTTCTGAAATTGGAAAATGATAAAACTACTTAGTTCCCATTATGTATGAGTACAGGGGAAGTATGATTACAAATAGAGTGTAATGTGATTTGCTGTGACTAACTTGAAAAAATGTGTCTTTCACACTGCAACACTGGATCAAAGCACTGGGCAGACTTGAAATAAGCTAATAGAAAATACTGCAAAATGAAAAGGACAAGTAATATGCAACACAAAAGTAATTGCTTACACTTCATTTAAATTTCTAGAAAGAGCAGAGTTTCCAAGGCAAGAATCAAAGTCAGTCTCAGCAAGGACAATATTAACCTAATGACAAATAAGGTTCATTTTCAAGTCAAGACCAAAGCCTCAAAATTAGTCTTACAAGAGTTCACACTGTGATTTTATAACTATCAAAAGAGACAGATAAAATTACTGGAGAAAGTGTCCAGGAAATTTGATATTTGGGCTGTTGAAGAGGAGGAAATTAATAAAGTGTACTAAATGTCTGTAATTAGCAAACATAAGTTTCAAGTTACTTTTTTCCCATGAGAAAATCGCCTTATCTATAATGTAAGACTGTAGCAATACTTTTTTCATTGTTAGGATGAAAACCACCATCCACTTTTAGAAAAATATGATCTAGGTAACACATGTGCAATGTGTGAAATTCAGACTGTGCCGAGCAGCATGCAATGCCGCTCCTACTCCTTCGCAACCCCGCCCACTCATTTCTTCCCGGCGGAGACCTTGGCTTAGGGTTGCTCCACTCTAGTTTCTCCCTTGGCAGGGATACCGGGCCTGGGGTCGAAGACTTGCTGGTTCACCCGTGTGATATTTCAAGCTGGAGCCAGAATTTTGCATATCAGCGTTCAGTGTTAGGGAGAGACCCTGTCCTGTGTGGCAGGGGTGGTGTCAGGCTCTCAAGGGATTGGAACAGAGCTGCTTCAGTTACAGGTATGAACAAGCATCAGGGAAGCTGTGTCATCCACTGTCTTGTGTGGAGGTCAGCCCACAAGGGATCAATCTGGAAGCAGGTAATACTTCTCTCTCAGAACCCTTACTTTGAAATTTATTTATGTGATGTTTCCTTCCTTT